ATAATTTACCGAATTCACGGAAAGAATCGAATAATTAATTCTATTATTTCTCAGTTGCTTTTATTCCAGTCTATATCTACCCTGATCTAAATTATTTATTTATTTATTTATTGCTTAGATGGGTGGACGAGCTCACAGCCCACCTGGTGTTAAAAGTTGTTACTGGAGCCCATATATATCTACAACGTAAATGCACCACCCACCTTGAGATATAAGTTCTAAGGTCTCAAGTATAGTTTTAATGTAAAAATATGTTTTATTATTTCTAAAAACATTGTGCTGCTCTCGTTAAAATAAAAAGTTGTGGTTGATTGTACGGCTGCAGTCCGTCCGTTTACGATTTTAGTTACGTGTTGGAGCTCACGAGTGAATATTTGATGGGATACTGTCTTATCGAGACAGGGACACACTTGTCCTTCACATTACGAACTAATCGTATGCCTATGTATATATAGTGAATGATATTAGTGCAATATTAGGTACATTTTAGATTTAATTGTTACCATGATCGCGGGCGACGATAATACCTTTTAATACTGTGTAAACTATTATATGTATGTATGTATATATATGTAAATGTGTATATATGTATGTATATACTTTTTTTTATGTATGTATTTGTATCTTAATATAAATTTCATTGCACCTACCACTATTCACTCTGCACTCCCTTTGGTTGACTGGTAGAGAATGCCTTAGGCATTAAGTCCGTCAATGTAAATTTTACATGAAGTGTAATAAATAAATAAAATAAAATAATAATATTTTAGAGTAAGTGTATGCATGCCTCATACGAGAGAAAGGCCACGGCTTCTAAGCACTTGTATATTAGTAATTTATTGTTAACGTCATAACGCTTTGAAGTCGTTGTGGCCCAAAGGATAAGAGGTCCGGTGCATTCGTATCTAGCGATGCAACGGTGTTCGAATCCCTCAGGCGGATACCAATTTTCTAATGAAATACGTACTTAATCAATGTACCTACACGATTGACTTCCACGGTGTCGTGAATGAATATCATCCTTAATAAAAATCAAAACTCGCAAAATTATAATTTGCGTAATTACTGGTGGTAGGTTCTCTTGAATCCTCATGGGTAAGTACCTCCGCCCTGCCTAGACCTTGGAACTTATATCTCAAGGTGGGTGGCGCATTTACGTTGTAGAAGTCTATGGGCTTCAATAACCACTTAACACCGGGTGAGCTGTGAGCCCGTCCACCCATCTAAGCAATAAAAAAAAAGTACGACAGAAGCGTTTAAAGCGTTAAAAAGTTTAAAATACTTCATTATTCAATTCCAAGTTAAGCAATAAGGTTACTTACGCTAGTACAAAAGTCGTAAACATTCAGATCCGGGCTATAAAATCTGATCAGTTTTACGAAAAAGGATATACTTTAATTTGAATTTTATTCAAAGTAATTTTTACTTCGAAGAGTCTGTGTTGGGGGACAAGGGTTAATGACCTGCGAGTTAGCAGATGTGCCCCAACGTTGTTAATTTTATTGTATGCGTATGTTGTCTTGCTTTATTTTGTCATTTATAAAAATAACAAAAATATAAACTTACTTATTGATAATATAATATGTAAATGAAGCTCTGTTGGTCCTACGTTACATTTGAATTTCCCGCGTATTAGCTTCGACTGTAATCTTTGTATTATCTATGGTGGCAGCCATGTTCATTCTATAATTGGAAAAATTGTTTTCTGGCTTTGTACATTCAAAAAGATAACGTGCTTTCTTAAAAATTTATAATTTTCAGATTTTGAATAGAGATTAAATATTGAAGCAATAGCTTTTAATGTTGTTTCTCTTTGAAGGTTCGAAAATAGTTATAATAATTGTAAGTGTTATGTTAATAATAATAATAATAATAAAATAAACCTCTTTGCAGAGCAACAACTTTTTTGTTTCAATAAACAATACATTACACAATACTTAATATATACTTCTCCTTTATAAGATAAATCAATAAGGTTTGTTCGGCCGGTCCGGGGAGCCAATGTCGCAGGAGCCACAACCCGAGGGCAATCCCCGAGTTACATCTTGACTTGCTTAATGCATCTCATCATAATGTAGTGACGTCACTGTTCTTACCTTATTCTTTCATTTTGTAGTTATAATTTAACAGTACATGAAAATAAATTTACAATCCAAAACGTAAAATTAACACTATGAGTAGGCATCGGTTTCCCAGCACTAGCACATTTCCCGGACCGCAGGAAGCCTGTTGTGTATTAAACAATTTTACTATACTTTTAACTAGGAACGTCAAAACAAAACGACATATTTTTTTTAGGTCGCGGGCCGAACCTCCTACGAGGTCCCCGCACTTAAGGGGCGCGCCAGGTATGTGGGACTTGACGATCTGCAGACGACGAGACGACTCTACGACTCCCCTGCACTCTTACACCCGACGTCCGATCTAAGTCCGGGGTCAGATCCCGGTCAGAGTAGGGGGGTTCCCGCGGTCAACACTACAACCAAACACGTGGCGCCATCCCGAGGACACCCGACCGACGGGTTGTTGAGAAGCTGCATATACCACAATGATAACAGCATATGTATGTTTCCTTCACCTCATGCAGCATCGGGCAGGTCCGCGGCGCGCAATAAGGCGTCACGACGTACCACTACCAGGCGGAAGTCACGGTGCCCGGCAGCAGCGTGTCAGAACTAGGTGAACAATTAATTTCAGATAGATTATGTTCCGATTCTGTCCACTCAATTGGTTCCGGATAGGGTAAGTTGACATTCAATAAATTTGTAATCGCGACTTCATCCGCGTGGAATAGTTCACAAATAATTTTAGAACAATTATAAATAATTATATTATAAATAATTTATTTTAGAACAAATTTGGTTTGCATAAAAAACGTTATAGTGAGCCAACCTTAACATATAGACATGTTTTTATTTTTTTATTTTTTATTGCTTAGATGAGTGGACGAGCTCACAGCCCACCTGGTGTAAAGTGGTTACTGGAGCCCATGGACATCTACAACGTAAATGCGCCACCCACCTTGAGATATAAGTTCTAAGATCTCAGTATAGTTACATGTCGCGCTATCGCGGACTTTTTTTAGATCTTTTAAAGGGGACCAATTCTCTCATACATTACTTTAACGAAACTTTAACCGTTTCCGCAGCGCACGCAGTAGAAGCTCTCAAAAGGGAAAAAACCCGATTTTGAAACATTATTTATTGGTGCTATGCCTGCATTGGTCTTAGCCTGATGTTATATAGCCTATAGCCTTTCTCGATAAATAGGCTATCTAACACTGAAATAATTTTTCAAATCGGACCAGCAGTTCCTGAGATTAGCGCGTTCAAACAAACAAACTCTTCAGCTTTATAATATTAAGTATAGATAAGTTATAATCCAAACCCTTAAATTCGTCAAAAGCAGGTGCTGACGTCACGGAGGGAACACACATGGCGTTTCCGTTGTTGTCCTGTGTAGCGGAAACAATATTATTAAATTTTTTCCCCTACCTACCTAATCGTTGGAAGCTTAAGGGGTATTCCAGCTCGAATAGATAAGTGAGCTCACGGATTCAACCTGACAGAATTTGCTAACACTAGCAAGAGCAGGGCTTTTTTTTTATTTTTTTTTTTATTGCTTAGATGGATGGACGAGCTCACAGCCCACCTGATGTTAAGTGGTTACTGGAGCCCATAGACATCTACAACGTAAATGCGCCACCCACCTCGAGATATAAGTTCTAAGGTCTCACTATAGTTACAACCCCTACCCCACCCTTCGAACCGAAACGCATTACTGCTTCACGGCGGAAATAGGCGGGGTGGTAACCTACCCGTGCGGACTCCCAAGAGGTCCTACCACCAGTGAAATCTACCACCGGATCCGAATCGCGACCCACTGAGAAGATCCGGCGAGAAATCCAGTGGGTTTAATCAATTCAGTCTTCAATAACGTACTAGCGACAATCTTAAATTAAATTTTTGTAGTTTTGGCTGACGTAGGATTTGCGGTTATAAGAATTATATTCACTGGAATGGACGACTTCTACCGCTTAAAATGTCTTTCTTCTTCTCAGTCGTGTCACTCTTGACAGTGTGGTCGTGATCGTCGTGTAGTGTTGGAAGGGGCAGACTTGATGCGTCTCACGATGTCCCGCCATCTCTCGAGGCCATTCTACTGCACTCATTTAGAGGATGCATCCCACTGCAGTTTTAATTTGGTTTTTCCCTGTACAAAAAAGTGAAATCCGCAAATTATTATTTTTGCGTAATGAGTCGCTTAAGGCATATAATCAGCCCAGATTAGTAGGCGCAACCACCATAGCTATTTAGTTATATAGGCTATTTTTCGGCTCTCTCTAGACTAAATAGGACAGCTGACATGAATCTATGATTTTAAGAAGCCACGTCGTACCAGCTACGCAATGAGCTCATCTTCACACTATAAAGAAACTAATTCAAGCCTTGCCACATAGAATGTTTTCTGTGTTAGTCAATGTAATGATCATATACGCGATTATCTTATGAGCAATGTATTTATATTGTTAATGCTATAAACAGCTACCGCATTGACTTGGATTACTCTTCACTTCTTTCAAACTAGAAAATTACGGTAAGAAATAGAATAGAAAAAAGAATAAGAAATAGAATGTCAGCCGATTTTCTTTTATTGCTTAGAACGGTGGTCGAGCTCACGGCCCACCTGGTGTTAAGTGGTTACCGGAGCCCATAGACATCTACAACGTAAATGGCGCTATCCACCTTGAGACATGAGTTCTAAAATCTCAGTATAGTACAACTGCTGCCGCACCCTTCAAGCCGAAACGCATTACTGGTTCAAGTCAGAAATAAACAGTGCGGTGGTACCTACCCGTGCGGACTCACAAGAGATTCTACCACCAGTAATTAATTTCTCAACACAGTATGATATCTAACTATATTATTTTATAAGTGTATATGGGCGGGTATTATTATAAGCACTAGACTACCCTACGAAGAGGTAAATGAAACAATTTGTTTTTCATCATTTTTCACTTTATTAATTTCATTAATAAATCCTCTCTACAAACGTGACACTGCTTACAGACACTGCCCGAAAAATGTGGAATGCGTAAGTACCTACGACCTTTAGATTCTAAGCTACATAGTGACGTCATACGTACCGATCGCGGAAATATTTTGCGTACATCGACCGCTGGGAAGAGTCAATATTATTGATTGAATTGTTCTGTTTATTAATTGTCTCTTTCTAGTTTGGACGCACTAGTTTTTTTTAATACATTGCTGCATAAACATTTTCCCAAAATTAATTTATTTTATGATATAATAATAATTATTAATACATCGAGATAGTAGTGTCGTGAAGTGATTTTGCTAATTGTTTAACAACACACCTGTACCAAAAGTTCTGTATACACTACTATAACAAATATACTAACAAATATTAATTGTAAATAAAATGATTTTAAAACTAGTTCGATTTCTTAAAATTTTCTTTTGTACAAGTTAACGATTTAATATTGTGATTTTATATATTTATTTCCTATTGGTTAGCAAACAATTTGTTGGTTGTTCCTATTGGTTAACAAACAAACTACTGCCATTAATAGTGTTAATTATGGAAAAAATTAAGAAAATGATATGAACAGAAAGTTATATTACAACATTTTTTTAATTTTAAGTAAAATTTCGATTTTAAATTTCCTTTAACACGCCTTGTGCCTGAAGCCTTTAATCAATAATAAGTTGGACAATAATTATTTCTCGCGGATATTCTTTATAACTTATAATAAATCTCATAAATCGTTTATGAAAGCTAAGATGCATCTAAAGATGAGGGTTACGCTTTTTACCCTACACTGCTATACCATCAACACCATAACCTAAACAAAAAACGGCGTAAGATATATCTCTAGAAATCTCTTCACAACTACGATCTACATGACAATAATTTCCATTTTTATTAACATCTTCAACTTACATTATATACAAACAAACATCTAAATATAGTAATACGTCAACTGGCTAAAGTACATATGTACCCTGTTATATACAAATCAAAAATAAACATCTCAACTTATGGGACCATGTACAGCACAAACTGTTTTAAGGACAGTTAATTTACCAAACAAAACTTCATACAGGATACATTATCTACAACTAAAACACCGTATTTACAACGCTAAGGTGGTCCTAGTATGTAAGCTCCAAGTCGCACAGATAAAGTTTAATATTGATTGAAGAAACGAGCATGTAACTGTGAACTTATAATCTGCACCGATTTTCATGAAATCGCGACACTTGATTTAAACCATAATAGTGTTCCCAATAATGCTTTCCTTTCCGTCCAAGAACTCGGAGTAGCCTGATTCATCACTGCAGGCGCTGTCGCTGTCACCCACACTCTTGAACACTTCAGTTTCGGTGCTAGAAGTCAGACTGTCCGCATCAGTGAGGTTATCAATCAGAGATTCAAAGTTCTCTTCAAAGTTGCTCAAGATACTAGCGCTGAGAGGAGGGTACGTAGATCTACGTCGGAACCCGTTTTTCTCGCCAATAGGGACATGATTTACTTCATTAGAATAATTACCAATTCTATCACCGGTTTCTTCTGCAACTTTGTCTTCTTGGGGTAACGATGGGAGGGAGGTAGGTTCGGAGTCAGAAGCAGCGGTACTGGCAGTCTCGCATCCAGAAGAAACAGATCCATCGTCGCTGTCCGTGACGAGGAAGTTACTAGACAATTTGCATTCTGTCACGTTTGCTGCTGCTGTATCGATTATTTCGTTTGTCTCTAGTATTGCTTCAAGTTTATCATCATCATGACTAGTTCCCACATCTTTATTACTCTCTTTGGAGATTAAATCGAGTAGTTCATCTGTAAGTGTAACAGTTTCGCTACCAGGCGACGCTAAAAGACGGTTCATGATGCCTTCGGGACAAGACATCTTCCTTGGACTCTTCACATCCGGCCGTCGCCTGTCAAGTGTCTGTATCGACATATTGTCCATGTCGTTGGAGAATGATGATCTCGTCCATTCATTACACAAGTTAGCTCTTGCGTTCATCTCGGCCTCCTCCTCGTCTTCTTCGGAGCAAAGTTCCTCGATCGCTCCAAGCTTCGGAGCTGATTTGGACCTTTCTAAAGGAGGTCTGTAGTTCATAGAACCAACACTTAAAAGTATTTTACGACGCGGCATGCTGGGGTTGTCATACACGCTGTTCGCAAGACTCAGCCTTGCGTTTTGCTTTGAGATTCTTTCCTTTTTGAACTCAACCAATGCTTGCTTCAACTTGACCTGCAGTTCTTCGGTGATCTTTTTAGATATAGATTCTTTGGTGCATAAAACTGCATGGCATCGGAGTTCATGTTTGAGCTTCTTGCCTTCGTGACGGTAGACCCAGCAGAAGAGTTTGGGGTAGTGGGGTGGGCTGGCGCAATAAGTGATCCGGTGAGACCAGTACTCGGTTAGTCCGTGTTCTTTGGTAAATCCTTTGAGGCCGGAGTTGGTAACAGAGAGCTTCATGACCACGTCAGGTTTTGTTGATTGCTGGTAGTTGCGCCACAACGTCGCCAGCGGCTTCTCGATGCAGTTCTCACCTGGAAATATAATTATCGATATTAAAAACTTTGTAAATGCTGGTGAAAATTAATATACTAGCTTTACCAAGCTTTTTGTTCTCTAGTGTTTATTGCATTCAAATCATAGTTTCCTAATCCTAGAGCTGGTAAGAGCGTCGTGGTCTAAAACATAAAACGCCCGATGGGATGTGCATTCGAAAACAAGACATGAACCAGTTTTTTTATAATCTAACAAACTTGTAATTGGGTTGCAAAATGAACAATTTCCACGTTCAAGTAATTGTGCCGGCTTATCGAAACAAATTTGCAAAATTCATACAGGCTGATTGTTAAGTGCAATTGTTGAGATTCGGATTCCGGTAACCTCCAACCCCAGGCAGCCCGAAAACTATGTTTTATTAAAAAAAAAACTTCGCACTTTCTTTCTCATAAAAATAATTAATTGCTATTATATTTGAATAGGAACACAGAAATATTCATGGTACGAATGAAATCCTCGCGTACTTTTAATGACTCAAACAGGGGACCTATTTACATATGATATATTCTAAAATGCGCTTTAAAGTTTAGGAGATAAGAGTTTATAGAATGGGAACTGGCGAGGACCTTCGGAGGGGCTACGAATGGTAATGTCCGGGTCGTGGAACGTCGCTGCTTCCTGTTCGAATGTACTTCGGGAACAAACGAGTCGGAACAGGTTTTTTGGAACCCATAAAAATATTCTAATCTGTTTAACTGGTTTCGAGCGTAGTTTTTCCACGAACGCTGACGGCTATTTGCCTGCGGATACGTGTTTCATTGCATTTAGTCGCATTTTTTTATGTCATTGGGTTACAAATACTCGTTATTTTACTATGTAGAACACAATGATTAATTTGCAAATTTGGTATGGTATTAGGTTGTTTTTGAATGTGTAACGCCTGTACATTCAAATGGGAGAACAAGACGCAAATAGACGGTAAAGTGTTGACCTCTTGTGTGACACAAAACACATGGTATCACCAAAAAAAAAAAAAACGAAAGGTCACGATCACACAAAATTTAATGTTGATATATTTTCTCTTTGATTTCAAAGTTCATTTGCAATTTTTAAACATATAAACAAGTTATATGAAAGAAGTAATGTATTCATTTATTCTTTTGATTGCGATCCAAACTGATTCTGAACAACAGTTTTAAGAAAAACGTATTTGGTTCACAAATATTGGTTTTTGTAGGACAGTGACGATCTGATGTTATACTGACCGAATAACGAATATTACAGGCGAGTTTGGGTGGTGTATTCCACAATCAACTTAACTAAAATTTCTGGTTCTCTATTTGATAAGATAAGGTAAACATTATTGAAGTTTTTTTTTCAGGATGGGAGCCGAACCTCCTACAAGGTCCCCGTGCTAAGGTAGTGCGCGAGGTATGTGGGACTTGACCATCTGCAGATGTTGGGAGCAGACCGTGGACCCAAGGGGTTTTAGGGGCCTACCGCACTAAACGACTCTCCTGCACTCTTACACCCGACCTGCGATCTCCGCCCGGGGTCAGAACCCGCTCAGAGTAGGAGGTTCCCGCGGTTCCCCTACAACTAGACTCGCGGCGCCACCCAACCGTTATTAAGGTTAAATTAACTTTTGACTTCATGCACTTTTCTAGCTCTTGACTGTAGTGTCTATAGGCAGGTGTGCTCCGCCTCCAAGCTAGAGTGCACGATGCGTAGTATTAAAGCTAATATCTTACATCAGATTCCAGTTTGATATCAAATTTCAAATTCGTTTTAGAATAAAAGTAAACATAAAAACAGCAGAGGTAGCGGTCAAACCGCTATTTCTGCCTGATTATGCTAGACTTATTTTTAGATTTGCACGAAAGCGCTAATGATATTAGAAGCTAGATTGAAATGAAGACTGCATTTAGAGAAAATGTTATAAGTATAAAAAAGTGATATAGCGTCGAAAGCAGACCCGCAGTTGCTGATTATGTCACTGCTCACCTTGATAGGTAATTTTGATATTTGACTTGCATTTATAGGTGTAATTTATGAAACAACACATTTCAAGTCTGATTAATTTATAATGGTCTGTGAAATTATGTAACCTTCACCGGGAAATAAAACACACATAATACCGACCAGACTAACACAGAACATAGTATAAGCCGCAGTAGAGGCGGTAACACAATATATTATTATTAATATGTTTATCCCAACATGTCAGTATTACAATTTTTTTCTCAATCACCGAGTGCAACAAAAAGAGGTGATTAAATAGATAGATGCCCTTCGTCAATAACAAACAGATTCGAATTTAATATCATTCATAGCCGTAAAACGAAGCAGGCACCGTTCGCTGTGTGAGCTGCTAACGTCTATCGCTAGTTCTAAGCAAAGAATTTGAATATTTGCCAACTACATACTACGAGTATTACATCAGTGCTCGAATGTACGCGCTTAAAATGACAATTAGTGAAATACCCCAGTTTAAGTGAATAGCAGGCTTGTCAATGCAATTGATCATCACTACATAGTATAAAATAAAGTCGCTTTCTCTGTCCCTATATCCCTATGTATGCTTAAATCTTTAAAACTACGCAACGGATTTTGATGCGGTTTTTTTTAATAGATAGAGTGATTGAACAGGAAGTTTTATATGTATAATAACATCCATTAAATAGTGGAGAAATCAATAATAAATTACAGTTTCCGAAGCGAAGCGAGGGCGGGTCGCTAGTATTTAGAATAAATTAGTAAATTATCACTAGACAAGTGACATCAGGTTATTTTTGTTTTCTATTTCGTTTTAGATATAAAAACACTTGCTTAATTGGAAAACATTAAAAATGATTTTGAATTCAATAAGGAAATTTGTCAAGCCGTAAAATGATCATACTATTTTTGCGGTCGCAGGCAAACAAATCCAGCTGACTCTTCAGTCGAAACACTTTTTACGGGTGTCCAAGATCGACAACATTACTATTTTGTTTGCGTCAGAGCTCGAGCATAAAGTTAGACACATATTACCCATATCACTTTAGTACGTAGTGAAAAGACGTCACTCCAAGTCACCACTCTCAATCATGAACCGTTCTCTAGCCAACCACCGTACACTTTTACTGTTACCAGTTACCGACTACTGCTAACAGTATTGTTACCAGTCTAGTCTCGTCTCATCTAGTCCAGCTTTAAAAATAAAAAAATATGTTATATATTATTTATAAAATGATGATTTATTGTACAGGTACAGGAGCAAACTCTAGGATTATTACATTTCGGGACGTGTGAAGCTAAACTCAGTAGGTCGGTTCTCCCACATATATTTTAAGTCTTGTCTTCATTTTTATTGCTTTGATGGGTGCACGAGCTCACAGGCCACCTGGTGTTAAGTGGTCATTTCACGGTGGCTTCACGGTAGAAATAGGCAGGGTGGTGGTACCTACCCGCGCAGACTCACAAGAGGTCCTACCACCAGTAAAAAATACTTTCAATACTTTCTAATGAATACTGATAAACATCGTCTAGTTAAAACCTAATCATGACATTTCTCACTTACTTCGCTAGCTACACAATAAGACGAATAAATTAAATGAATATTAAATTAATCTCAGGGATGGCTGATAATAATGAAAATCTTATTGTATTGGAATAATAAGTGTCTCTCCATTTAAACAGAAAAAAAAAGATTTTAATTATAGCCTGAATAGAACCCACCATCGTTTATTACGCATATTATGTCTTATACAAAATAAATACTCAAAAATATACAGATTAGTATGAAGGGTCACGAATTCTCATGTCGAGCGATACACGATTTACTTAGTTAAGAAACGTGGAGTGCATGTTAACGTTTAATTATGTTTACTTAGATAAGACGTGTGTAGAGACGCTGAAATTATCCTTAATGGGACAAACAGACGCAAATACATTTTTTTTAAATTAACTTACGGTCACAATTTAATGCAACGTATATAGATTGGCAATGTTAGTGGATACTCAGCCAGCACTCCCAAACGTGAGCACTCTTAATTTATTTAACAACACATATTTTTTATTAAGTACTAGCTGATACGGCAGACTTCGTAGTGCCTCAATCGATAAATAAAAGACCTAAACTTTTGTATAAAATAAACATAAAACAAACAAAAGGAATCCGTCGGACGGGGGACACATCAAAGGGAAAACAAAATTGTTATTTTTATTTAATTCCGAGCATTTTCATATTTATCTTCCTTTTAAACCTTCTCTGGACTTCCACAAATAATTCAAGACCAAAATTAGCCAAATCGGTCCAGTCGTTCTCGAGTTTTAGCGAAACTAACGAACAGCAATTCATTTATATATATATATATATATATATATATACATAGAAGATTTACGTAAAATACAAAACATAGAATATTCGTCCTATCGTCATAATATCGTCCGTTTCGGTGTATGACCCATGTCTATGGATATGACATCCGATCCTAGTGTATTAAATTATTATTTTTATTATTATTAAAAACTGTTAATTCCCTGGCAGGCTACACAGTATCGCCAAATGTATGCAAACTTACTCTCATACGTTGATACTGCTATGACGAAAACTTCTCTGATGACCAAGCAACAGGCGTATACATTTCAATTCAATTGGATATGAATTGGTTTTGATAGTATTTAGAAAATAATTAGTAGATACTTAACTTTGTGTACAGCAAAAGACTTGAAGAAACCGTAATCAAGGAATGGCTTTGTGTTTTTGAATTACCTCTTGTGAGTCCGCACTAGTAGGTGCCACCACCCCGCCTATTTTTACCGTGAAGCAGTAATGCGTTTCGGTTTGAAGGGTGGGGCGGCCGTGGTAACTATACTGAGACCTTAGAACTCATATCTCAAGGTGGGTGGCGCATTTACGTTGTGGATGTCTATGGGCTTCGGTAACCACTTAACATCAGGTGGCCTGTGAGCTCGTCCACCCATCTAAGCAATAAATAAAAAAGACCAGACGCTTTTGCGCCTGCCGTCGCCTGTAGGGGCAAGTCCCTGCATCTTA